TCCCTATCAGTGGATAATTAAGTTTTCTAGTGTCCGTCTTACTCTTAAGAAATAATACTGTACCTAGAAGTACATCTAAACCTGTTTTTGCATATTTTGTGAGGTTTATTTGCAGAATATGTTAAAAACGTTTGTGTTTAGAATTAGGGTGCATGTATTACATGGAAAAGAGGGAGAAGCACTCGGGGTATGATGATGCTAAAAAATCCTCTGGTGCTTTCTGCTCACTCGAGAGATAATTTCTCACCAAAGTAAATTCTTACTACCAACCCATAATAGAAATTTCTGTGTGCTGCGCTGCAGAACAGCATTGTAATTAGTAAGCTAGTTTAATTCCCCCTCTTCCCTCCACTTGCTTAAGTCGCTATTGTCAAGCCTAGTGGGGAATCTCTCTTCTATTGAACTAAATACCAGTGTCTGGTTCAGCTTGAATTCCAATTGGTGCCTGTTGTAAATCTTTTATCACTTACATCACTTTGGGGATAGTTAGCAGTATTCAGCACATTTTCTTATAAAGAACAGTTGGAAGAAAGTACTGTTATTCTCTTAGTCTCTGTAAGTACTGTGATGCAGAATTTTACATTTGACAAAAAGTGAATACTAGGACACAATTCTGTGGCGCCTTTGTAATACAGTACTGCGTTGGTCCAGGAATAGATTTTAGGAAAGCAAAGTATCTTTTTCTTTCTCTTTCTTTCTTTTTTTATTAAGATCAGAATATATTTATTGGGGGAAAGAAAGCTTCTGCCCAAGAGAGGGACAGAAGGGGACCCAAGCAGGTTGTCCCTGGAAAACAAACTATCTTCCTCAGTACCTTTTGGGGGGGGAGCAAATAAGCTTTTCACAAGTTATCTAAATAAAATTGAGGGCTGGAGAGACAGCACAGTGACATAAGTGCCTGCCTGGCAAGCATATGGTCCTGAGTTTGATCCCCAGTGCCAAAAATTAATTAATTAATTAATTAAAATAAAATGATATTGAGTATTCTGTCTGATAAACCAAATATAAACTTCTCCTTAAACTAAAGAATTGGCAAGGGCTCAGTAAATATCTTTGTAATTTACTCAGTCAAAATAAAAATACTTAGTTGACACATAAATACCAAACTGGTGACCAAAGTGACCTGTATCCAGATAAAAGGTCAAATACAACAAGAAGCTTTATTTTATTGTTAGTTGAAGTTATTGAAGGGCTTTAAAACTTAGTTTTCAAACTTTTTCCATTGTGTGTGACTTGTTAGGTTTTGTATTTGTTTTTTAAATTTGCAAAACTCCTTTTCATTTGGCCTTGTTTGCATTTTTGTTTTGTTGTTGTTACTGTTATTCCGTACCGGGGATCAAACTCAGCACCTTGCACTTGCCAGGCAAGTGCTCAGGCCACTGAACTAGCTCCCCAGCCCTTTTAGCCTTGTTTTGTATTTGATGAGATATTCTTTGAGGATTTGAGGGTGGGAGTAGGATCAAACCTTGGGCCTTGTGCAGGCCCTCTCCTCCTGAGCTGCATCCCCAGCCCTGTTCCTTACATTTTTTTTTTTTTTGCGGAACCAGGAATTGAACTCAGACCCTTGCGCTTGCCAGGCAAGCGCTTATTCTACTGAGCCATCTCCCTGGCCCTGTTCCTTACATTTTGGGGGCATTTTTTTTGTTTTTGTTTTTGCTTTTAATAATTTCTTTTTATTATTTATTTATTTATTTATTTGGTACAGGGTCTTGCTGTGCAGCTCAGACTCATAATGATCTCCTGTCCTAGGCTCACCAGCAATGGGATTACAGCGCCTGGTTTCATTGGCCAGTTTAGTGCAGGACCAGCATAGCGTGTGGTACCAGGGATCCAAACCGGGTCTTCTCATACCTGCTAGGCAGGCTCTTGGACAGCAGAACTATCTCCCGGCCCTGTTTCTTAGGTTTAAAGAAATGATTTGAATACCTTTAAGTCTCAAATAACATGAATGAATAAATAAATAATTGACAGTTCACAGTTGAATATCCATGTTGATTATGACTTGGAGATTTTTTGGGGGTTTTTTTTTTGATCTAGGAATCAAACTCAGGACCTCACATTTGCCAGGCAGGCACTGTGCTGCTGAGCTATATTCCTGGCCCATGACTGGAGATTTTTACATGACATGAGCTTAAGTATTTTGTTAATCATCTGCATAGATTTTGTATTCTTAATATTTCCCATACAGACTTGGCTCTTTATTGGTTCTAATACAGAAAGAACCTCCTTGTTGAGATGTCCACTAAAAGAGGGTAATGTACTGAAAATATGCCTGCTTATTGAGGGACTGAGCAAGGTGTTCATGAGATAAAAATTGACCCCTTTTCTATTTTCTCAGGCAAGACAGGGTCACTGTAAACATTTATGGAATGAAAGAGCTGAGTATTCACTAGCATTTTTCCTTTGTAGTGGATGTAGAGAGGAAAAATCTTAGCATTGTGTGACTGTACCTGATAAAATCAAATAGAAATGAAACTTCCTTGCCACAACCCTGAACACTCACTGAACATACCTGCATTAGTACTAGGAATAGTCTTAGAAATAGTCCTTGCAGTACTTGCTGTATTCTAGTGTGCTAGTTACTTGGGCCCTGAAGAAGAGCTACTGTACCTACCTCTGTGGAACCTAGTCTGTTAGGCTAAGCAAAAGTTATACATCAGGTTCTAAGGCTATGCTCTTTTTGCACAGCCTTCATCCTTGACCACTCTCGTGGCTGGATTTGGGTTGTTGCTCTGGAATACTTCCAGAGACCCTCTCTTAGGAGTCAGATCCCACATTAAACTCTTCCACCACTGGCTTCGGATTTGTTACAGAATAATGTGGAATATGTGACTGTATATGTAAGTTTCTACCACAGTAAACGTAGTCATACTAGGGTCCCTCTGGAGCAGAAATACTGATCCTCAAAATTGATAGCAGGTTTCCTGAGAGTGATGGCCAAGTGGAGAGTTTTTTTTCAGAAACCGGAAATGTAATTGTTGACCATTTACAGCATCCACGTTGTGTCTGGGGCTCTGCCAGGCACAAGGAATCAAGAGAGTTTTATTACACTGTAATTGTACTGTGAAAGACTTTTGAGACGGGATCTTGCTGTGTAGCTGAAGGTGGCCTTAAACTGATAGCAGTTCTCCTGCCTCAGCCTCCCAAATGCTGGAGTTACAAGCATGTGCCATCACACCTGGTATGCAAGACTGTTTCAATGAAAAGTTTTACTAGTTTTTGGGTCATTTTGGTAAAAAGTGGAGAGTCTCAAGGGTTATACCCACTTTTTCAATCAGTTTATAAATATCTTTCCATAATCTAGTGAATTCATACCATTTTCTTAGCTGTGGTTACCTTTTGGCATGGGTGTTTGTTTGTTTGTTTGTTTTGCAGTTCCAGGAATCAGACTCTGGACCTTACCCTTGCAGGGCGGGTGCTTAGGCCTCTTAGCTAGCCGTCTCCCTAGGCCAGCATGGTTTTTAATATTGTTGACCTGAATGCTTTTTATTAGAGTGGTACTTGAGGTTATCAGAGGATTTTTAAATTCTCCTTGCCCTCCCAAATCTATCCTTCCCAAGACTGAATTATTGTTGAGAAGCTTGGAAACTGCATAGTGCTGCATAAGTAGAGGTGTATGATTGAGTACAGTAGGCCCCCTGGGATGAAACCCAGAGCTTTCTGCTCTAGATACATCTGGAATACAGTTGACCTGAGGAGACCAGAATTGTGGAGTACATTACCCTCGATCTCAGCAAGTCATATACAAGGTGTAAGCTTTTATGTCTGTCAATATTTCAGAGATACCAGCAAACACTTGGAAGGTATGAGGTGGATGTGTGTTTTAAGGAGCCTGGCTTTTCTTCCCTCATCACTTTTGTCCAGAGAAACTAGGAAGTGATACAGTTGTATGGCAGTGCTTTAACTCAGACTGCTAAGAAATTAATATTACCTACATTAGACTCTAAGTGGGTAGGCAAGAATGGATTATTGTTTATTTACTAAGGAATTTTAGGGAAGATAGATGTGCTTAAATTGATTTCTTTTGCACAGTAAAAGACTGCCATTGTTAGAACTTTTGCACATGCACATCAATCTGTATAATTTCAGCTTGCTTTATAACCAGCATGTACTAGATGTACTAGTTGGATCTTGATTTTGGATCCTTTCTGATAATGTCTTTTAATTAATGTCAACATTTTATTAACAAATATGTTCAGATTTTATATTATTGCTGGAAAAAGAAAAAGAGTTCTAAGTCACAAACCTTTTTGTTAATAGATCCAGAAATACTAAAAAGTCTTGATGTTGGACATCGTAGCACATACCTGTAGTCCCAGCACTTGGGAGGCTGAGGCAGGAGGATTGCTGCAAGTTTGAAGCCAGCCTGAGCTACATAGTGGGTTCTTACCTGGGAAAAAAAGTCGCTTGGACAGAACATGGTTACATATACCTCTAATCCTGTCCCTGGCAGAGGCAAAACCTTAGAGGATCACAAGTCTCAGCCCAGCAGGGATGACTTGGTGAGACTTGTCTCAGAAAAAAGCTTTAAAAGGAGCTGGGGCTGTGTGAGGGCCTCAGTGGATTCAACCTGATACCACAAGTTAATTAATAAAAATGTTTTTTGAACAGAATTTCAGTCTATCTATATAATAAGGCTTTAGAATAATCCTTGCTTGAAAAAAAATACAGCCTAAGAACTTGCTAATCAATCTGAGGTCCTTCCTCCACTGGGGGTGGAGGTGGGGGTGGGCTTCAGCTGATTCCACAGCAAGGGGCCTGGCAGATGCTGAAGAAGCGTGTAGTTTCCTGAACTATAAGGTGATTGGTATGAAATGAGGACTTAGTAGCTCAGGCCCAATTTGACCATTTTTTTGCCCGGAATTTTATTACCCAAGGAACATAAATTGAGAAAATACACAGACACCTGGAGAAATTGACTGCTTCCCATCCTTTCACTTGTTTGCTCTTGACGTTTTCTAACATATTTTCACGTTTAATTTTATTTTCCACATAGGAAACCTATGAGAATATCCCAGGCCAGTCCAAGATCACATTCCTCTTACAAGCCATCAGGAACACAACAGCTGCTGAGGAGGTACTACCTTAATATTTGAGAACGTTACAATCTTACGAAACCTGTTAGGGTGCTTAGATGATGGTTAGCACGTGTAACGAGAATTATTTACTTCTTGGGGGGGATACCAGGGATCGAACTCAGGGCTTAAATTTGCCAGGCAGGTGCTTATGCCACTGAGATAGCTTCCCGGCTCTGAGAATTATTTACTACCTAAATGTTAGTTACAATTTTGAATTGATTTGCCAAAAGCTGTCTGTGAGCTATGGTGTAATTCTTTGAAGTAAATCTCTATGATGAGAATTTCCTTCTTCCACTTAAGGTGATACCTTCAGAGTAGAAAAAGTTAATGGTTTTATGAATAATTCCATCAAAACTATTAAATCTCAATGATTTCTGCATCTGTAGTGTTTTCTTGCCCTGAGACCATTATTCAGGAAAAAATTCATTCATTGAATATCTTAATGTTTCAAATATTTTGAGAAATCTTTTATCTATAAAATTTTATGGGTACAACCATCTGTAGAAGAAACATATACTAAAGATAGGCATAGGAACAGACACCCTTTCTAGAATTTTTTTGACATCACAGTTTTTAGCAAACTACCTGGGATACTAAATACAAACAAGCTTGCATTTTAAAAATCTTTTTCCCGGGGGGCCTGCCCATTAGCTCAGTTGTTTAAGTGCCTGCTTAAACAAAGCAGTCAGGCTCAAGATGCTCTGATTCGAACCCAGTTTCTCACAGGAAACCAGAAATGCCTTCAAGGAATCTTCAGGCCACCAAAAAAAAAAAAACAACAAAAACTTCTGCCACTGGGGCCAGGGAGATAGCTCTGTAGAATAAGCACTTGCCTGGCAAGCACAAGGCCCTGAATTCAATCCCCAGTTCTGAAAAAAATTTAAAAAATACCTTTTTCCCTCTGACAGAATACCTGTGTGCTGGGGTTTTATAGTTTTTTACTGTCTCTGCATTTAAAAGTCAACTTTCTTTTCTCTCTTTCCATAAATTAATATTCTTTTTTTCCATAAATTAATATTCTTATAAGTACTGAATGGTATGGCGTATTGCTTTACTTTTGGAAAAGGTGTTCAGATAACGGCTAGTATAGCCAGCTTATCTGTCTTTACCTCACAGTCTTTTTGGATTTTCTTTTTGGTGGTGGTGATGGTAGGGTCCTGGGAAGCCACCTCAGGACCTCATGCCTGCCAGGCGGGCACTTGTGCCACTGAGCTATGTCCCTGGTTATCCTTCCTCTGAAACATAGCCTTTGGGTTTTGCAGAATAAGATTCCTGTTACTAAGAACCACACTCTATAATTCTCATGGTAGTTTAGTACCTGGTGGAAGCAAAGTCAGCCGGGCTGGCCATCTCATGCTCACTGTAGCATTTAGCAGAATGAGCCGGGCGTGGTGGCTCTTAGCAGAATGAGCCGGGCGTGGTGGCCCGTGCCTCCAGCATTCAGAAGGCCAAGGCGGGAGGACTGCCTTGAGGCCAGCCTGAATACTGTAACTGTCCCCCAAGAGGCAGTATTAAAACCTGTATTAAACTTTACTTAAATCTTCATTTAGGATTTATTTTTTATTTATTTATTTATTTATTTAGTGTGTGTGTGTGTGTGGCCAGCTCAGCCCACCAGGGGGCGGGGCTGGCTGGCATGTGGTGCTGGGGGATTGAACCACGGTCCCTGTGCTTTGCCAAGCTTGTTCCAAGTAGGTGCTTTAGACCACTGAGCCATCTCACCAGCCCCTTCATTTAGGATTTAGATGGTAGCTATAAATTAGCCGCAACATCTCGATTGTGGCTTCATTATTTTGGAGAAGTGTGCGTGTGTGTGCATGCATGCTTGTGTGCGTGCGTGTGCGCATTGCATACCGTTTTTAAAGCACTTACAAGAATTCTAACCATTTTGATGGGGGGGGGGCAGAACCGGGGATTGAACTCAGGCCCTTGCGCTGGTCAGGGAAATGCTTATTCTACTAAGCCATCTCCCCGGCCCATCTCCCCGGCCCTTGAATTATTTCTAACTAGAACATATGTTAATTATTTGCAAGTTTGTTATCTACCATATATAACTCAATAAAAAGGCAATATAATGGAGAAAAAAATGGCAGGTTTTATTTGTATAACTTTTTTATTGATCATAGTTCCAAAGTAATTAGTAAGAGTAACAACAACCCTGAAAAAAATGAGAGAAGGAAAAATAAAAGAGGGCTATTGGCTTAACAGCTGAAATGCCATTTGTCTCAACTTTTCTTTAGATAACCTCAAGGAAAGTCATACCTAACTCATGCATATATGGTGCACACACTTAAACATGGGAAGCTAAGTGTACACATTGAGCTTGATTCTTACTGTTCAGGTATTGGTAACCTTTTTGTGGTTGTTTTGAGACATGGTTTTACTGTGTAGTGTAGGTTGGCCTTGATCTCACTATGTAGTCCAGACTGGCCTTACTCCTGGCCATCCTCTTGCCTCCACCTCCAGAGTACTAGGATTATAGGTATGCGCCACCATGCCTGGCAGTAGTAGCACCTTGCAGTGTTTGCTTACATGAGCGAAACATAAAGATAAACAGCATCCTAGTATTTGATCTGAGAAGCTAATGCAAATGGGCAGTTATATATAACGAGAGGGCGGGGGAGGAGTCTACAGCATAGACGCTTCTCTTGTAGAATGAGAACCAGATGAGTACGTAGAAAGCATTGCAGAGTTTGCACTTTAAGATTTATTTTTCTGGTAAAGAATGTATTAAGGGGCCAAGGAGATGGCTCAGTGGAATAAGTGCTTCCCTGGCAAGCGCAAAGGCCTGAGTTCAATCCCCGGTTCCGCAAAAAAAAAAAAAACCAAACATAATATATTAAGAGTGGGGATTGAAAACAGTTTATCCTTAGGGCCAGCCAGATAGCTCAGTGGACTAAAGCACCTGCTTAGGCAGGCAGGCACAGGGACCAGAGTTGCATGCCCAGCTGCCCTGACGGCCCTGCCCCAGGGCGTATTGAGAGGAGATTGAGACTGTGCACACTCCTGTAATCCTAGCACTTGGGAGGCTGCAAACAGCCTTTCACTACAAGTCTGATCTGTGTGGTGAGGCCCTGTAGACCCTGTACTAAAATACATTAAAAAAAGAGAGAAAAAAAGTTTATCTTTGCTATGATGTTCTATCAGAATTCTGTGTTTAGTTTTTCTCACCTGTAAGTAAAAATGGCTCATTGTATGTAATATTTCTATTATGATAGACTTATATGCCTAGAATGTCACATTTCACATTCTTTTTTAATGAAATAGTTGCTGTAGAAATAAAGTAGAAAACTAGAACAGTGAAGGACATCAGTGAGAGCCTGAGTCTAGTTTGGTGGCAGTGTCCTCTCTAGTAACACGCGAAGTTATCTATTTATAGGCGAGACAAATGGCTGCTGTTCTCCTCCGGCGCCTTTTGTCCTCTGCATTCGATGAAGTCTACCCAGCTCTTCCCTCGGACGTGCAGACTGCCATCAAGAGTGAACTGCTAGTGATTATCCAGATGGAAACACAGTCCAGCATGAGGAAGAAAATTTGTGACATTGCTGCAGAGCTGGCCAGGAATTTAATAGGTGTGTATGCAAGTAGATTTCGTGTTTGGAGGGAAGGAGGGATAGAGCCTTTCCCTCTTTTTTAATCGATTCTTCTAGAGGACGATTTGTGGGTATCTCAGTACTATTCATTCTGTTCAAAATGAATGAGATTATGCATGCAGCATTTAAAGCCAAAGATTACAGAGGTTTAGGAAATTTAATCACATCTACCTGTTGGTATTCACAACTTCCATAGGAAAAAATAATTTTGTAATTCAGTTGCAAGCTGTTACATTGCTCTTTAATCTGTACAGTTTTAGAAGTAAAGGCTACCAAATGGTATAATTTACTTTGTAGATTAAACTTTTCACTTGAAGTAGACATCGGTATACTCGGAGTGCTTTTGCTATTGTATATACACACATTGATAAATTATACACATACAGTGTTAACGCTTTATATATGATAGCCTGTAAAATGCCCTGAAATAGTTTTAAAGAATGAGATAAAAGGAAAGTATTTTCTGAAATGCAGTTTTCCAACAGTAAAAGCCTTTCAGTCAACTAAAAATATTAATAATTAATTTTGATTGCATGTGATTTTGGGGGGGTAGGTTGTGCATACTGAGCACACCTTGTACCACAGCTGAGTCCCGTCTTTCCTTTTTTATATTTTATTTTTTTCTTAGATTTTATTGGTCCATTTTAGGTATACATAGCCTCCGTTTTCTTAAACAGGGATTCCTAGGTGTGAATATAACCATTTTTCATTGAGAAAATCGTTGAGTGGCTGAAAGCGTGCTTCATGAAGACAGTGACTGATGGCAGAGTGTTGCTGGTGTCTGTGTGCATCATGGCGCCTTTAGTACCAGCCAATAATGCCGAAGTTCTT